CATATACTGTGATGTCACATTGGTGATGTTCCTCCGCTCGCATTTCTCCCCCTATACACAGGACGGATTCCCATTTCCTGGGCCCGGGGCCGATGTATAAATCATCTTATTTGGGGTCACTGTCTCTACTAATGATGGAGGCTGATGGTGATATCGAGGAAAGTCGCCTCTTGGCCTCCCTCACCTATAGGCCTGCTGCACAAATGGTAATGGGGCCCTTGCTGTGGCCCCATATTACCCCCTAGCAAGTCAAGGGCCTCTGGTGTTGAGCATTGCAACTACTGTGACTCTGAATCCGCACATGGGATGCTAACATTGAAGGTGTATATGTATCCAGGCATGACCCCAATGTACCCCAAACCTCCCTTCTTCCCTCATACCCTGGCACTATGTGCATTTTATTACCTTGTCTGTCCTTTTTTATTGCCCCCTCCCCCTATCACTAGGTTTGTAAAGTTCATGCAGGGGCAGCTGCTGGTGGGTTATTTCCTATTGACATAGGCATGCCTCCAGAACTACATCTCCCAAGAGCCCTTTCCCTGCACATCGTGTGGGGGCAGGCTACAGCACTGAAAGGAATCAATGTCTGTATGGGGAGAGAACCCAGGGGGTGGGCAGAGTTCTGTAGTCCAGCAGGGAGGGCTGACGGCAATGCTTGGGATTTCAGTGCGGCAGAGACACTTCATCATCAGCTCAGGCAGGAAGTTGGGAGCTCGCTGGATTTCTGGAGGATCAACAGGTATTTGTCTGTGCTTGCAGCATTTTTTTAAAGAGACACGACATGGGAAAATGTGCATGCGTTGTTGAGACGTCCTGCGTTTTATTTTCCCCCAGATGTGGCACCTCGGCCATTGCTCTCTAGTTTACCTCCACGTGACCGGATCAGCCCAGACAGACTGCTTAGTAAATGACGACCATCGTGTCTGCCTCCCTATGATCCACACCGAGAACTCCTAGACTTTGCTGGAAGTAACTCGGATATTTCCGTCCAATCTCTCGGATCAGGTAAAGGACGGGGATGGGACAAGCCGGGTACAGTCCTTGGTGTTCCCAGGTGCCATTGTGCCGCCACATCATTCAGAGGAGGGTCAGCTCTCCCCTCTGGCTGTTGTCACACGGTGTACACAGAGCGCTCCTTGCCTGGTCTCCGCTCCCCGACCTGTACTGGAAATTCTGCTCTTGTTGTGTTTTGTCTCGTTTCATCCTGATTGTGTTTGTAGTAAATAGTGAGCATGGAAACCTATAAAGAGAATCGGCGCTGTAGGCTGGAGCGTTGTCACTTCTACTGGGAGCTGCACATGGTGGTCCTGAGAGCTCACTATGTTCTGTAAGGTAAATTCTATCCATCCGTCCGTCTGTCTAGTTTACTCTTATCTCTCTTTCTCCTTCCCCTTCCCTCTCAATTTCCCCCACCTTGCTTTCTC